GTGAAAAGGCGAAATAACGCAGATAAACACGATTATGTGGTTGATAATGACGAGGAGAGTGAGAAGAGCAGGTCTACGTACCACTTGCAGTGTAATGCTGCATATGCTCGTAATTCAACGAAATACGCGTGAAAAGGCGAAATAACGCAGATAAACACGATTATGTGGTTGATAATGACGAGGAGAGTGAGAAGAGCAGGTCTACGTACCACTTGCAGTGTAATGCTGCATATGCTCGTAATTCAACGAAATACGCGTGAAAAGGCGAAATAACGCAGATAAACACGATTATGTGGTTGATAATGACGAGGAGAGTGAGAAGAGCAGGTCTACGTACCACTTGCAGTGTAATGCTGCATATGCTCGTAATTCAACGAAATACGCGTGAAAAGGCGAAATAACGCAGATAAACACGATTATGTGGTTGATAATGACGAGGAGAGTGAGAAGAGCAGGTCTACGTACCACTTGCAGTGTAATGCTGCATATGCTCGTAATTCAAGGAAATACGCGTGAAAAGGCGAAATAACGCAGATAAACACGATTATGTGGTTGATAATGACGAGGAGAGTGAGAAGAGCAGGTCTACGTACCACTTGCAGTGTAATGCTGCATATGCTCGTAATTCAACGAAATACGCGTGAAAAGGCGAAATAACGCAGATAAACACGATTATGTGGTTGATAATGACGAGGAGAGTGAGAAGAGCAGGTCTACGTACCACTTGCAGTGTAATGCTGCATATGCTCGTAATTCAACGAAATACGCGTGAAAAGGCTAAATAACGCAGATAAACACGATTATGTGGTTGATAATGACGAGGAGAGTGAGAAGAGCAGGTCTACGTACCACTTGCAGTGTAATGCTGCATATGCTCGTAATTCAACGAAATACGCGTGAAAAGGCGAAATAACGCAGATAAACACGATTATGTGGTTGATAATGACGAGGAGAGTGAGAAGAGCAGGTCTACGTACCACTTCCAGTGTAATGCTGCATATGCTCGTAATTCAACGAAATACGCGTGAAAAGGCGAAATAACGCAGATAAACACGATTATGTGGTTGATAATGACGAGGAGAGTGAGAAGAGCAGGTCTACGTACCACTTCCAGTGTAATGCTGCATATGCTCGTAATTCAACGAAATACGCGTGAAAAGGCGAAATAACGCAGATAAACACGATTATGTGGTTGATAATGACGAGGAGAGTGAGAAGAGCAGGTCTACGTACCACTTGCAGTGTAATGCTGCATATGCTCGTAATTCAACGAAATACGCGTGAAAAGGCGAAATAACGCAGATAAACACGATTATGTGGTTGATAATGACGAGGAGAGTGAGAAGAGCAGGTCTACGTACCACTTGCAGTGTAATGCTGCATATGCTCGTAATTCAACGAAATACGCGTGAAAAGGCGAAATAACGCAGATAAACACGATTATGTGGTTGATAATGACGAGGAGAGTGAGAAGAGCAGGTCTACGTACCACTTGCAGTGTAATGCTGCATATGCTCGTAATTCAACGAAATAGGCGTGAAAAGGCGAAATAACGCAGATAAACACGATTATGTGGTTGATAATGACGAGGAGAGTGAGAAGAGCAGGTCTACGTACCACTTGCAGTGTAATGCTGCATATGCTCGTAATTCAAGGAAATACGCGTGAAAAGGCGAAATAACGCAGATAAACACGATTATGTGGTTGATAATGACGAGGAGAGTGAGAAGAGCAGGTCTACGTACCACTTGCAGTGTAATGCTGCATATGCTCGTAATTCAAGGAAATAGGCGTGAAAAGGCGAAATAACGCAGATAAACACGATTATGTGGTTGATAATGACGAGGAGAGTGAGAAGAGCAGGTCTACGTACCACTTGCAGTGTAATGCTGCATATGCTCGTAATTCAACGAAATACGCGTGAAAAGGCGAAATAACGCAGATAAACACGATTATGTGGTTGATAATGACGAGGAGAGTGAGAAGAGCAGGTCTACGTACCACTTGCAGTGTAATGCTGCATATGCTCGTAATTCAAGGAAATAGGCGTGAAAAGGCGAAATAACGCAGATAAACACGATTATGTGGTTGATAATGACGAGGAGAGTGAGAAGAGCAGGTCTACGTACCACTTGCAGTGTAATGCTGCATATGCTCGTAATTCAAGGAAATAGGCGTGAAAAGGCGAAATAACGCAGATAAACACGATTATGTGGTTGATAATGACGAGGAGAGTGAGAAGAGCAGGTCTACGTACCACTTGCAGTGTAATGCTGCATATGCTCGTAATTCAAGGAAATAGGCGTGAAAAGGCGAAATAACGCAGATAAACACGATTATGTGGTTGATAATGACGAGGAGAGTGAGAAGAGCAGGTCTACGTACCACTTGCAGTGTAATGCTGCATATGCTCGTAATTCAACGAAATACGCGTGAAAAGGCGAAATAACGCAGATAAACACGATTATGTGGTTGATAATGACGAGGAGAGTGAGAAGAGCAGGTCTACGTACCACTTCCAGTGTAATGCTGCATATGCTCGTAATTCAACGAAATACGCGTGAAAAGGCGAAATAACGCAGATAAACACGATTATGTGGTTGATAATGACGAGGAGAGTGAGAAGAGCAGGTCTACGTACCACTTGCAGTGTAATGCTGCATATGCTCGTAATTCAACGAAATACGCGTGAAAAGGCGAAATAACGCAGATAAACACGATTATGTGGTTGATAATGACGAGGAGAGTGAGAAGAGCAGGTCTACGTACCACTTGCAGCTGCG